TTTCTGCTTTTTCCGGCCTGATGTCAACACCACGCATGCCGCACATGATCACCATACCGTTTTCTTTGTAGGGTGAAAAGTAAAACATTGAATCAATTAAAACCCCGTCTGTCTGTGTACGTAGTTAATTCAACATGACGGAGCATGAAGAGGTTGCGCTTTACATAGTGTAAGATTCGCATTATCTTTCACTGATCGTGTTTTACTTCCGGTTCCGTTCATATGGTCGCCAGCCCACAACTCCAAATGAGCTTTTCATATCGATTCGACTGGAAGGCTGCTATATATGCCCGGATGACACAAACTGTAATCAACGATGTAGCGGATTCGACGCCACGTACCTGCCGCTTCTTTTATTTAAAATAACATGACAAATATATATCTATAATAAATAAATAAATAAATAAATATCTGTGTATACTGTGTAGGCCAGTATGACATACATACATATATACTATATATATATTATATATATATATATATATATATATATATCATATTATATTATAATAATAGGGTGCTGTGTGTGGTGTTGTGTGTTGCTGCGTTCGTGTTGTGTGTGTGTGGCTGTGTGTGTGCATGTGTGATGGTGTGTGTGGGTGTGGTGAGTCGCTGTGCAGAGAAAGGGGAGATATTTATTTATTTACTTTGAATCGTATATTTGTCTTTTATTTTTGAACTGTGAAGGAAGCGGCAAGCGTACGTAAGTAGTAATGCCTACATCGTTTGATTATATGATATATATATATATATATATATATATATATATATATACTATATATAATATTATATATATTATATTAGGGTATGCTGGGTGCGGTGCGTGAGTGGGTGTGTGTGTGTTGGTGTGTGTGGAGTGTGTGCAGCAGAAGGGCAAGGGGAGATATTTATTTATTTATTTAATCTATATTTGTCATTTATTTTTAATGAAGGAAGCGGCAGGTACGTAAGTAGTAATCCTACATCGTTGATTATATATATATATATAGTGTATGTGGGTGCGTGCGTGAGTGCGTGTGTGTGTATGTGCGTGCGTGTGTGTGTGCGCGTGCGTGTGTGCGTGCACGCGTGAGTGTGTGTGTATGTGTATGTGTGTGCGTGCGTGTGTGTGTGCGCGTGTGTGTGCATGCGCGCGTGCGATTATACGTGCGTGCGTGCGTGCACGCTCGACTGCATGTACGGTTCTTGTTGTGATCCTGTTTTGTGTTCTGCTCATTCTAGATCATTTCTAAATCTATGCAAAATGTGATCTGGAAATTTGTGGAATATGTTTTTAAATAGTGGCAGAAGGGCTCTAGAAAATGGTATCAGTAGAATAATGGTCAGTATGAGGAGAGTACCGACGAGAGAGCGTTGTCAGATCTCTCTCCTCACACATCTCTTGCACTATAGGTTTGAATCGTTCCGCATAGATACAATACAATACAATGACCGGTACAATGACATTTGTTATGTCATTGAACATCCGACTGATTCACTTTGCTAGTGTTTCGGCAATCACGGTTTATTTTAAACATGGTCATTATCATTTACCAGACTCACTACTCTACTCTACTACTCTAATAAAGATTACATGTTTATTGACGAATGAATCGAATCAATCACACGTTTTATTTATAGAGGAGATATATCTCTATGCTCAAGCTAAACAATTTCATGAAATTTCCAGCACATAATTATGTTACCACACAAATTTTTATGTAAAAATGGCATTTTGGATATTTCTCAATTACCACAAAGAGTAAGGAATCAAATTTTTTTGCCACAGGTTAAGCACAATATGTACCAACATATTGCATCGGTATTTTTCTTTAAGTTTTATATTTTCTGAGAAAAATGAAAAAACTGCTTTAAAATCAAGTTGTGTGTTAGAATTAAAAAATTTGGCGAATACAAAAGCATAACTAATAAAATACGGTACTTAATAACAATCCCTAGCACTTTTTTTTACAGCAATGTGTTACCATTAAAACGAGTGTAAAATTAAATTATTCCTAGTTGTAAGAAAAATATTCACAGAGAAATATCCATTTATACATCGGCTACTATGTCAGAAATCAAAACGGAGAGATCAGCGTTTTTCTATTTTTCACAATGATCGACCGCCTGTGTGCAAAATGGGTGAACGTATGTGAAACATCTACTGTTAGTACTTACTGTGACATATCCATGACTAACTCTAGCTAGTGGGTCACAACACGCGCCTAAAGTGCAAGTGTGTAAACAGCGAAAACGTGGCCATTTTCGGTCCGCGCCGCAAGTTCAACTATCACTGGCAGCATGACGAGCTGGTAGGAAGTGTGATGCCTGAATGCTACCGAACGTAGTGAAAGATATCCATGAAAATTTCTGGTTTTATCATTGTCTTGACGTCATCAGTACGTCAGCTGCTGCCCTCACTACACGGTACGCGGCAATCAAAACGCTCTGACAGTTCACATCGTACCGTTGTATGGAGAATGAGTATATACAGAGGCTGGCATATAGTGTTAGCCATCGGAATAAAGGTTGAAAATAAAAATCGGTGAAGGTTTTGCCTAAAACTGGAGAGTATCTTTAAATACATTATATACGCGTTAACTGGCATATGATTAGCAGCTTATATTTGGCGTAAGTATAAGTGATTATTAAGTTGTTCTAATTGCAAATGAATGGTAGACGACGATAAATGTCGCATGAACATGTTACGTTGACATCATTTGTGACGGATACGCTGAAGAAATATTCGTTCCATCATATCAAATTTGCGTCATCATATCAGTAGTATTATCATATAAGTATATATATATGTTATATATATTATATATATATATATGACAAAAAGCTATACTATTATAGAGTAGATATCATAAGATAATATAGCTTGTGCATAGAACGCACGCCTGATGCACAAACACACAGTGTACGCACGCACAATGCATGCACGCACACACACACACACCACACACTCTTGAAGACATTGCGTTTGAGAAGACAATAACTTAAGAGTAACCCAGAAAGGTGGACGCTCGCACCGAGTTGCGCACAAGAACACAGACACGACGTACACACGCACGCACGCACGCACATACAGCCTAGAAACTAATCATGGTGTTGTATAGTGAGCAGGATGTCAAGAGAGTGAACATACCTGGTCGCTTACATTCTGCCTCTATCTATGGTCTAGCTGAGGCGACGAGGCGCGTGCATTTGCTGCAAGACTGAATTTTGTTTATATAGTTAGCATGTGTTATTGATTTTGCTAACGGACATTACATGAATGAATACGTCTGCGTTAGAAGTTATCCGGTATATAAATGTTAACGATGTGGTAAATGCCTCAACGCATATTGTTGATGATTATAAAACTGGTCAATATGGTTAAACTATGACGTTCTTTCTTCTCACTTAGGAGTTAACACATAAAAAGACACTTTGCTCGTTCCTCACATCTCTCTATACGTCCTACGCTGCCTCTCCCCTTACCGCTCCGTCAATAGAATCTAGCACTGTATCCCAACAGACTGTTCCCGTTTTTATGCTTTATCTCTCAACCTACTTGCCTATCTTCACTCTCGTTGACCAAGCATTAAAATAGCAAAACAAAAAATGTCAAAACCATATGTATACGTTGCTTTTATTAGATAAGGCTGTCATAAACATGATTATTCCAAATGTATTAGCCGCATTTTGCTAACATATACAATTATGGTCCAATTGACTTCATGATTGGGATTAACTTAAGAACTTAATTAACAATCACAAATCATGATTCTACGTTTAGTGTCCACTCGGGGAGAAGTTGAAACAGTTTTAGTTGCATAATTTGCCTTCGTTGTAATTACACACTGCCCTCCACTGGGCACATGTTGCAGTGTACTCGCTGTTCACAGTCGCCAAGCTGATCATACAGTGGAGCTGCAGTTCGAGGTGTACTTCTGCTTATATTCTATACGACAATCTCGCTAGAGTAAGGGGAGAAGATCTCACGATTGCTACTGAAGCCAGCATCACACAGTTCGCATATACGGTTCTCTCCCCTCGACACTCACGGTCTCGTTAGATGACCCGATGTGAAAAGATAGCATCACACAGTTTTCATTAGATGGTTTATACTCACGTGCTGAGTCTTATGTGTTTTTTCCTATTAACTCCGAAAAGGAGAAGGCAGCCATCACACAAGATCGACTTAAATCAGGTTGCTTCTCCGTGTGA